AGCTAAATAATTAATATCAAGTACAGTATCAAGCATCAAAGCTAACCTAAGGAAACACGTACATGGCATATATTTAACAATTATTCGCCAATTATTCAGCAAGATTCATCGAGCCAGATGTGAATATAATTGTTTTAGTATAATTACAAAGGTGATTTTTTGAAAAATCAAATCTGTTGTAAAAAATACATGTTTTACAAACGTCAACAAATATCTCCATCGTTTCACAGTGATTCAAGTAAAACATTTTTTGCAAAAAAAAGTTGAAAAGCGTTCTACATAGTAGTTTTTACTTTGAAAATAATTTTATGCCTAATTATTTCACATCTTTTATATGTATATTATTTTTGTCAAAATAACGCATTCCTTCATCTTTCACTTTGACAAAGACAACTCGCCGCCATTTCAAAAAATCCGCTTAGGTGATTATCGCGGAATAATCCGAGGTCTCTCGACCAATCAGAGGCAAGTAATTTCAATAATCACTTTTGCGATATTATATTCATATGATATTATAGCTGTATCTTAAAATTAGGTCTTAAAATTTTAGGCCCAATATTTATAATGGGACAATCGTTTCAGGTAGTACAGTACCTTCAAGGTAATAGTGCGTGCCTAACATTATCACATTATTTATTCAAAATATAAACGTCTTGCGTACCTGGATGATTAATTCTTGAGTAAAATCATAGTATTTCCTGCTTTGCTGATTATCGTAGGACGAATCGTATTTGAGATTTATAATTCGAAATTGACCTTCAATTGAAGCCTGAATATCTAAAAAGAATACAAGGTCAATTTCATACGAAATAAGTTTAGATTTACACGTTTAATTGCAACGCGATGATTTTTATTGTAGCACGTAGTATATAGTTGGCAAATGGTAATTCTAATTACATAGTAGATATGATTATAGTATCGTTTTTATCATATTGCTATAAGAATGCGTTTAAACAAAATATCAGGTCAAAATGAACCAAGTTGATCGTCAAGGTTTTACTATAATTCCAGTATTCAGTGAGACTAAACGGTAAAAAGGTATAACAGCGCACCATTGTCAAAGATATGCCTATTTCCTGAAATGTCATGATTGGAACTGCATGATGGATGCTTCAGGAAATGAAAATAAATGTTCACACATCCGCATAAGTCTGTGGCAATGTCGTCAATATGCGTTGGTTTATCTGCAGTAGCGGTGAACACAGAGGCGAAATATTTTGTGCAACCCACTCAACATCGGTGAATAATGATATAGCAAACGGCTGATGTTATAAACGACTCACATTAAATCATTGAAGACCTACCGAAACATGCGCCATCGATAATTTGTTGTCTTGGACTAATGCAGTGGCAACGATAGGCTCCTGGAAAATTGGTACACGATTGACCAGCACCTGTACATCTCTGCGATGGCCCAGTACATTCATCAATGTCGTCTGCAGGGAGAGAAACAAGATGTCCAATGATTTTTCATGTGGTATAGAATATGTTAAAACTTGATTGCCAAAAGAGGAATGTAGCGAGTAGGCATATTCGGCAAAACTATATATTGACAGTTTTGTAACGCATAACAATTTTGTAAATATAACCCTGCAACTGAAAGTTTGTTCCTACGTCATACATGTCATACATGTCAATGAATCGTTATTTTCTTCGTAATATTACAAAAACGCTCTATTCTTTGCTGAATTGTAATTAAATAGGACAAAGCATATAATGCAAAATACAAAACATCATACTAACCACATTCGGTTCCACTTCCTATATATCCCTCATTACAAGTACACTCATATGATCCGATATTATTCTCACAGGCAGCATTTGAAGAACAATAATTTTCGCCAGTACATTCATTAACGTCTTAAAATAGGATCACACAACTTATGGGTATAACGATCGACTGCCACGACTAACAAATGGACTATCAACAAAACCATTGGAGGAAATTAAACCAATCAATAACAGTATGTGCCTAGAATAACTAACAGAAAATCATGGCTTAAACAGGGGAAAAAAACATTAAGAAGTTTAGCTTTTTGCATTCGTTTGTTGCCATCAGGGGCCGCAGAAGGGACATGTCGCAGTGCCCGGAAGCTTTCGTCCAATTGGATAATGCTTTTCTATGCTTTCTAAAGAGCGAAGTTATGCTATAGGTTGAAACAGAAATGTATTGTAAAGTCAGCCAATGAAAATTATTTTTGCGTGGAGCTGCGACCCTACACCGCAGAGTATCGTTATGTGGGGGGGAGGGAAATATTCATGTATTCATGTTAGAAGATCGTTAAAACAAAAGAAACTAATAATGCTGAACGTGAATATATTAATATTTGACCACCCCTCCCACTTTTAAAAAAAAGAAAATGCACGAGAATTTGACCATTCCAATCAGTTAATGCTTTTCGGATGAAACCAAGACTCACCTGTACAATTTATTCCGTTTCCTTCGTAACCATTCCGACATTCACAAATGTACGAACCCACAATGTTTGTACAGTTTGCTTTTCGATCACATGGGTCATCCAGGCATTCATTGACATCTGTGGAAGTGAGAGGCACATGTGTTAAATTTGTTTTCAAACTGTTCATTTTTGTGTGGATGGCTAGTTTTATGTAATGTTCCAAAATACAACCTATGGGAATTCATATTTAAAATATGTTTTATATTTCATCCCCTGAAAGTAATCCAAGGAGATTGTATTCACCAATAGACTTTTCCCCTTTTAGCTTTTAAGCGCGCAATGCGTGACGGTAGTTGATTATCAACCAATTTTGAGTTGCGATATCGCTCTGCTTGGAAGCGATTTTGTTTGTAAGAAATGCTTCTTTGTTAAACTAAATCGCTCCGGAACATGGCGAAATCACAACTCAAATTGACCTTGATAATCAACTACTGTCACGCATTGTGCGCTTGAAAGCTAGAAGGGAAAAGGTCTATTACTATAGGTACTATATCTAGCTATAGCTATAATAGGCGAGTGACAATTGACGCCATTTTTATTTTACGCCATTTTATTTTACGAACAACGTAAAATAAAATGGCGTAAAATGCTCGTGTCACGATCACATAATACGATGAAGATGATATAAACTACCACAAAATGGATAAGCTATAAGAAAATCTTGTTCTCATAAGAAATTCATTTCAACTTTGCAAAATAAACTGAGATGCTAAAAAACAATTTGAAAAAGCGACTGACTCGTTTGTCACTTACCGGCCGCAATAACGATTCGTGTTGCTTCTGTCGAAAGCGAGATCTTAGCAGCCATTGTATCTGTCGATTTATCATATTTGAAAATTTGTGATGTTGTTGAATCGAGGACATAATAATACCCATTTCCGTCTGCAATGTCCACAGTTGTGATGCCTCCTGATTGATCTGTTCCAATCTGTGAAGTCTGACCATCGTACGTTGTTTTCAATATCTTATAATTTGAATCGGATGTAAAAAGAACCCAATATACGGTTTTATTCACGGTATCAAGAACGAGATGAGTGCCGATTCCTGTGATACTATCGTGAAGAGTTTGATCAGTTCCATCTGCAAGACTGTACCGGATGAGATTTCGATTGTTCGTAAGATCAGTGGTGAAAATATCGATCTAAATTTGGAGAGTGACTTTAAGTGAATGGATGTTAGGCAGATATATTATATCCATCTAGTTTACGTGCTTACTGATCACTGCTTAAATGCTCACTGCTTTTGTACACAGTTAGAAATAGTTCATCAGAAAAAATTCGTTATTTTTGTGATATTGAGATGCAGATTTGCCGTATCTCTTTAGATTTAGGTCTAATTGTACTACATCTGCGTTACCACAAAAGCAGAATACCTATTAACAGCGTCGCACCACTAACTGTCCCTACCTGTTATAAGTGTCGACTCGCAAATCCCTGAATCATTGTTTGGTGACACAGCACATTTTGTAGTTATTTCCGTTGTAATCAATCCTTTAAGGTTTAAAATTATCATCCGTTAGGTATAGATACTTTGATTCATGCATCAACCGAAAATGGGCCAAAACTGAAGGAACCGCCACAGTTTTAAATCACTTGATCAATTTGGTTGTACAGTTTAACATCTGCTCTATACCAAAGACGGTATTTTATTACGTCATAACCAAGGCTCGCGCTTGGTGAAGACACAAAGGCTTTAGGTTTTCCACCATTAACGGGAATATACGAGATATGAGTGGCGTTTGAATAGAAGATATATTCAATTTCTGCTTCACTGTTACCTATATGGATGGGTTATTTGCATGATTTAGAAGAAAGAAGAATTTTAGGGGGAACATTGTTTGGAGACATTGTCAAAGAGTGTTTTCACACACAATAAAATATGAAACAAATCACGTCATCTTTGACGTTTCTATCCGGAATCAAATTGATAAGGAAATAGGATAATTTCAAGCATATGCTCTACAAGTTTTTTAGGAACTTTCATAAAATTGTAACAAACAGTTTCACGAACTGCCAATGAATTTTCAGACAAAATCCGATAGGGAACATATTTTTGCTGATTTACATATGAAAATCTTTTTTTTTACAAACTATTCTTACTCTTGGCATGGGGAAGTATTTAACCCATATCAAGCCTTTCGTTGCCTGTAATTTGCGGGAAGCGGGATATCGAAGATTTTTTTAATAAGAGCATGAGAAAAGCCACCAAGTGCTGGTCAAACCGCACCAATGGCATACATATATTTCGACAATGAAAAATGACGGAATAATCAAGAAATTTTTAGCCAACATGATGCTCGATCATGCACGCTCAATGTTCTGTACATCACCAAAAAATAAAAATAGAGCTGCACTGACCGATCCATATCAATGAAATATACATAATTTTTACGATTAAATATTTCCACATCAGAACAATTGTTGAAATGTGGACTACGGGTTATGTATACCCAGTATGGAGGACACTTTTCTTTTATTCATAATGTATACACTACCTTTTAGATGAGGCATTTGCCAACTTGCGAGGATAAGTAGAACAAAACTCGGCTAATTTTGCCCATGTCTGTATAAGACAAACGGAAATTTATTAGTACGGGTATCAAGCGACGGTATGTCATAATTTCTGCATATACTGTATAATTTAATTTAAGGTCTTTTCTCCGACGTTTGGGTCACTAAGAGTCGAGAGATTTAAATATTTTTGAAACTAAAGGCCCGTTTACACTTGCATGCGATTTTTGTTGCGATTTTAAGTGCGATTTTCCTCTTTTGACATATGTGCGGAATGTCTTTTGACATATGTGGATGTTCTGATGTATAAGAGCTCTTACTTGAACAACAGCAACTAATTTACTTGTTCACATCCATGAAAAGAAGGAAATCGCAATAAAATCGAAGCAAAAATCGCCGGCAAGCGTAAACAGGGATTAAAGGGATATAGCAAAAAAATTATTTCTGTTTTGTTAAAAAGGAGATTTATACTTCTTGCAGAGCCTTTTTACAAAATTTGTTTATCTTTCATACTTCGCAGATATTATGGCGATCAAAAACATCGGATATCGAGATATATCCGCCATCTCTCACTACAAATCGTAGCTGCAAATTTATAAAAGGATGGCTCATTTATTTTATAAAATAAGCGGTAATTCTCATAAATCATAGCTTCAGGTTATTTGAAATACAAGGGCAAAAGATGACCCAAAATATGACCACATTATAATGCATTGTGTTACGATTTTTCCTATACCTTCTCATCTGCGATGATCTTTCAAAATCTACAATAAATATGTTCCGGCTTTAAGACACGTTATAGTGGGCGTAGAGTATTTAGTTTCCTGTATTACGCACTCCATGCTTGCAATTATACAAATCACACCCCCGCACATTCAGGTTAAGTCAGTTGTGCATTATTCATTAACCTAAAGGGGGTAAACAGTGCTCGTCTCATGCAAGTTAAAATTTCAGTTATTTTTGTCCTGTTTAGCCTTTCTATTTGCAGAAAATTGCATACATTTTTTGTATAATTATTTTCATCGCGCCGTCAGTCCATGTAGCTTTCGGCCAGAGAAAAATAATGTGGTATTTACCCGTATTTACCTTCATAAATCATGAAACTAACCGTTTAAATTGTGTAAACATTCTGGTAAACTACCAGGGGGTTTTTAGAATTCAACACTTTTCATCCTACCTCTGCCGATCTCTGCCTTACTTCCGTGGCTTGAAAACGGAGACGTCTATCTTGGTTATTTACTTTTCCCATTGATATACAAGTAAAAAAATTACTGTAATAATATACATGCGTACATTACTTATATATAACGGGAGAAATAATATTTGCAGAAACATTGACCATGCATACGTTGAAAATAGGCGAGATTATTTAAAGCTCATTAAGAATAGTATGATCTGTAGAGTATTATTGTTAGCAAAGACCAAAGATCGCCCGATCAATGATAATCTTTAGTATATTAATTTTCATGTAAATTACAGCACTTAACGTCTGGTAGTTTCGCATTTGACATCAACAATATACGAACGATGATTTTAAGATTTCGCACGTGAAAATTAAATAACTCCTTTGCACATATAACACAAGGACAGAGTTACAGACAAACTAACATTTAACGGATTATCAAACAAATTAATGAGATGATAAGTCTTTAGGCATATATTGTTATATATAAATCAAGCCATCGTATACAAGTTATAATTGCAAATATTTCCCTCAAAAGGTCGCATGTTTTCAACAAAATAATCTAAAATCATTCTTAATATTTTCTCGCAATCTTCTCCAGGATATAAAATCTGTTTCCGCAAACAATCCTACTTATTATATTATAATAATATTATAAAGATAAACGTTCCTATATCTAAGACGATCATATATGTTTGGGTGAAGCTGTCGTAATGATTTTGCATTGATAACGAAGGAGGAAGTAAATACTACACATAATATTGGTCTGGACTAGGATATTCTTTTAGGCAAATTCGCAACTCGTACAGATTCAATGAGCTTCAATTAAATAGGATGATACATGTACAGTCAACAAAATAACGATTGAAGTATAACCTGAAGCTGGAACTCACCTTCGCAAAGCTCGTGATATAGTTTCGATACGCTAGAATGTTTAAAGTATAAAAGAATATAAGCTTTTGAATTTTATGCATTGTATTAAGACCGATACGTCGAAACCCTGCTGGTCAAATTCATTCGCATTTGAATTTCGACGGGAATTGCTATAGCTTGACTGGCGTCCTTAGCAAGTTGTATAGATGTGATATTGTTGCATGAATTGCTCTCAATATTTTCCCGTTATTTTATATTGTTTAGTATTTGGCCTTCGCTCCGTATAAAATTGGGATAAATCGCAGATAATCTGAGCTCTGAACAATTGTGTTGATCAATATTCTCTTTTATGTAGGTATAGACAATTAAAGTATGTCAGATTAGGATATTCAGCGGTTTGCAGGTATAATAACATTAGCATGTATGGCCCTCATTTGCAGAGTCTTTAAATACAGTAGAACCACACAACTTGCAACGTGATCTATATATTTGAGACTGCATGCCAGAAAGTAATGGCATGCTATGCCTATGGCTCTGCCAACAAAGAAACACGCGAAAATTTCGAAGCCTTCCATTATATTTTCGGATTTTATTTCAAGGACGAAGTTCCGGGACATATCGCCATCCCATTTCCCCTTTCCACGTTCCTCGTTTCAATGCACGAGTCAAAATCGCCGGAATTTCTATTTCATCAAAATGCACGCAGTCCGCGCTGCTTCTCTTTCTTTAGCGATTTATATATATGGCAGACCGGTCCTGTTGTATTTCGGACAGGTTATACTGGTATTTTAGTTCAAGAACTCTACATTTTAACTTCCAAAGGGAACAAACTTTATGTTTTAGTTGAGTTAATGGGTTCACTTATTTCATATGCTTCGTATACCCATGAGATATTTTAAGCAATTTCTGTCACATTACAGCCGTTGTGTGGCAAATTTGAATTTCAAATGTGTCAATTTTTTAGATTCACCCTGTATATTCAATCTCATTACCATCTCATTATCTATTGTTTGAATTGCATTCCACTCAACCAAAATGCGACGTTTGAACTAGGCCCTATAGATTTCGTATATATGTTAATCGTATCTTAGCAATTGAAATTCAAAAGGATACATGGATACACACACCAAAATCGTTTAAATACAGTTATATATCTTAATTATCAGTTAAAGTGTGCCACACAAACACCAAAGTCCGAACGCGAAAGAAACGCCCATGCACACACGTGAAACACCCACAAACACGTACAATTATATTACAGGATAAATAATTGAGCAATGAAAATTTCACTATCTTCAAGTCTAAAAGACTACAGTCTGAAATAGCTATATTATTATATACATGTGTTCCATGCATTAATTCTTTACATATATGTAAAATGTTTGCATGTATGGCATATTATACTAAATCTGGTTTTATCGAAATTTTGTCGATATCTAAGCACTCAAAGAAGACACGCAACACCCAAACTAAACTCACGGACAAGAAATCATAAACGCGCATGCGCACAACAATTTGAATCCGACCGATTAATCAAGAAATGCATAAAATTTCAGCATTTTCAGCATAAAATCAAGCTTACGCGTCTGCCACCTGGAATTAGGCTGTCAAATAGCCAAAATAATTATGTGTATATATATATATATATATATATATATATATATATATATATATCTATTATATATATATATATATATATAAACAACTTACCTCACTGATCACAATGCTTGGCGATTCTATAGCGATCCAAATGTCTACAAGAAAGTAAGATATTACCTCTAACAATAGTAGATAAAACTAGCAGAAAAATGTTTAACGGAGGTTCAAAAAGCTTCTGCATTTGTTAAATAATTCTTACCTTGCTCGCTTCTTTTAAAAAAATGAACAGCTTATAAAGTATGAACAAAGCAACAAAATAAATAAAGCACCTTCCACAATTTATTATACAATTTCCATAAGATAAATAAAAAATTGATCTATTTCTCGAAATCCAAATTTTGAATAAAAATGTATTAAACCGATTGAATATACACAACCAGACATGATTTGTTAGAGACTCTTCCCATATTATGACTAATAACCGAAGGTTTTACTATTTATGGGGGGCCACTATTTTTGGACCACCTACTGTAGCTCGTACACATTTTTTCCATTGTCTCGAGACATTGTTCCCTTTGTTCAATCCCTTTGTTCTGATGTAGTTATTCTATACCGATTATAACTCTGTCAACTCCCTGACTCGATCGACCCACTCTTAATTAAACTTTTCATTCTTCGTTCAGCTCACGCTTTTTCTTTATTGGTTTGTTCCCAGTATATTGTTTCGTTTTAGATTTCAGATAAATGCTTGATTTCTAATCCGAAGATATATACTGTATATACTCGATTACCAGTGATTGCGACGGTATGTCGGTATTTGACGTGTACAGTAATTAGATTATCCATATAGATGCGATCAGTCAAATATATAATGCCAGTTTGCTAACCAACCATATGGACCAGACTGGACCGGTCATAATAAAACCCATGCCCATATGAGCGTCGTATATCTCAATGCTATTTGGACTGAAATTTTTAAAGTGATTCTGAGCCGAAAGGGTGATCGCGCTTGCGATGATCTAACAAATAAATACACCAAGATTCGAGAGATTGTGATAACGATGACTTACGCAATGTAAAACGAAAGAGAATTTTTTTATATAGTTGAATGGTATAAATAAATGATTTTGTAACCGGTAGGTTAAATTATATCAGAAAGTCTATTTTTACAATTTAAAAACACTAATTTATCATAATAAATATTATAAAACATTATTAAAATAATACAACTTTTGTAATTCATGACGACAACTCACCTTGCAGTTATATAATTATTTGATATCTTAAGTTCGGCAACGTCAACAAAACAAGCTCAAGTCCCTTCGGCATTAAAATTTTTAAAAACTACTCTAACGCTAACTGCGTTATGGTATAAATCGCATATCGACTAATTTTTTTAACAAATCAAAACCACGCCCTATTATAGACAAATATCATTCCGAAAAACCAACTATGCGGTATTTTCAACACGAATGACAGAATATCTTAATTACGTTATAGTATGGATTTTGATTTTCCAACGTCTTTATATTTATTCCAATTATGTAAAATATAAGGGTTTCCGAAATTCGGACACCCCTATCATTCCTAATATTTATCTCGGATTCATATATATAAGGGTTCCGAAATTCGGACTTCCCTAGCTAGCTATCTTTCCCCCAAATGGAAGACTTTACAATTTTCAGGAGATTTTCTTATAGGGGTGTCCGAAATTCGGACACCCCTTTATTTCCCCAAAATGAAAGGCTTTACAATTATCAGCAGATTTTTCCTCTAAGGGTTTCCGAAATTCGGACACCCCTATTAATCCCTTAATTCATCCCTTATTCGTAATAAAGGGGGTTCCAAAATTCGGAAACCCTCATCTTTCCTCAAAATGAAATGCTTTACAATTTTCAGCAATTTTTCTTGTTTTTTATCAAAGTTGAAGCTACACTTGATTCGCTCCGGCAAATTTAACTTAAAAGATTGAAAACGTTGGTAAAAAAATGCATTTTTCCCGTTCCGCCAAAATCGGGCATTTTCACCAGCACAATTTAGGCAGGAATCAGGAGGAAAAGGGAACTGGAAAACTTACTGACAACGTCCGCATAATTAAGCATTTTAACAAAATTTTTGCGTATATAATATTGCTAAAACTCGGCAGAATTCTGCAAAATTTGGCAAATTTGGAGAAAAATTTGAAGTTTGGATGATGACAAAATTCATTGAAATTTCGTTTTTAATTTTGCAGTTAAATAAACTATGCATTTCACAGACTGGACTTGCACAAAATTTGAATTGAAATTTCAGAACAAACGAAAATATAATTGAATACACATATCATATATAATTGAATAAACGGCACGGCAATCTCACCTTGCAATAGCTGTGGGAGGGCTAGAATGAAAAAAAAGAAGTAGCTTCGACATATTTTATAATTAAATTTTTTTTTTTAAATTTTGAAACGATTTCAAGGCTTCTTCAAACATATATGCTGCCACAATGCTAGCCCATGAAGTAATTAAGTCCCCCCGTGAAAATCAACGTTTAAAAAAAACCTTTATAATTTCTTAAAACCTTGGACTAACTTACGCTCAAATTTGAAACCTGATGGCGGTTCAAGGCTCAAAACAAATAAATTCCTGAAAGAACCTTCATTACCTATACAAGTTACACCATCGCCTGTATATCCTTCATTGCAAGTACAGTTGTAAGTTGCCTCAAGGTTAACACAAGACGCGTGTTCTGCACAATCTGGAATATGAATGTCTTCAGCAGGATTACACTCGTCGTAGTCTGTGAGGAAAAAATTAAGAAAATAATTAGAAAATACAATTAAAACTGTCGCATAAAAACGTTGTTGTTGTTGTTGTTGTTGTTGTTGTTGTTAGTTCAGTATTAAATAGTCCGATATAGATCCGATATGGGATATAGGTTCGATATTTCTCAGTAAAGACCGAGAGACTAGGTTAATAAAAATTTATTATATGGCATAGGGCATGTATTTGCACTTGAAACGAACAGGAAATGCATGAATTCGTATCACAGTAGCCGGGTACGCATTTGATAATAACAAAAACAAAATATTGAATTATTTAGTTTACATAAAGTGTCTGAATACGTTTCATTAATTCCAAAATCAATTAAATTTTCTCTTTAGCATTTATTTGTGCCTTTTTCATTGAGAAGTTCTCTGTTTTTCATCTCGTAATGGATACAGTACAATTATATAGTACTTATAATATAACTGATGAAGAATAGCGATTATGGTTATGTACTCACCGATTAAAGCTAACATTTATTTCTTACCTATCCTACCCACCTGAAAATGTTAGGGCATTCTCTCCAGGGACTCTTGTAAGCTGGAGTGGTCCAATATATTTCCCGCCATTTACTATGTCTAACTCTCGCTCTAATTCCTGACTCAAACCACTTGCCGTGACTCCAGTTGCTGCTGGATCAAAAGCTGATATGAAATCAACCCCAACAGATCCTGCACTATAATTAGAGAAATTCGATTTATAC